AATTTGAGTTCATCTTATTCCTCACGAATTTTCATCGAGTCCCTCAAAATTCAAATCAAAGTTCTCTGCTTCATAAGAGATTTAAGTTAAATGCTGATAATAATTAAGTATCTAAAAGCGGACAGTACATATAATATAACGATTTGGGTATAGAGACTCAAATCGTTACAATAATAATGCTGGGAAGTGCTTGTTAAACTAGCCACAGATTACTCGTGGCAAATAGATGCAGCTTTATGGATTATTCGAATAGCAATTGTTTAAAATAACAAATGGAATGATTTTGTCTTAAACAATGCATCTTGATTTTCAGATAATAAGTTTCTATTTTCATTGGTAATAATAAAATCGACCTACTATGCATTGACACGTGGTGCAATCTCAATTATTCAAAATTTTATACACTTGGACATGGACTCTCACCTCCAAGTCATCTCCCATATCATAAATACATAAACAAACATATCTTAGAGTTAGGGTGCATCATGGACTTGATAAGATTTTTTTTTTTTTAGTTTAAAAAGACCTTGATTAGGAATACTGAGCAAACTAATGACAACTATTTATTTTTATTTTTTTAGAAAAGAGAATAGGAAACTTTAATTTTATGGAAGCAAATCAATTCTTTCATTCCCACCCCCAAGTTTAGAGTGATGACTCACATTTTTCACTTGAAATCCTAAGATGTTCACCATCGCCCTTATCACCAACTCACGCCCATAAACACAGAACTACGTACATATGTATTAGAGTTAAGGAGAATCAAGGACGAGGGAATTATGAAAATAAATAAATGTATTTTGATAAGGGAAAAAATTAAATAAATTGGAACTCGTACGGGGAAAATAATTAGATCTTGTTAAGAGGCTTAAAAGAGGACCATGATAAAAGAAAATAAATGACTTTGATAAGGGATTATGATATATTTAAGCAAAACAAACAAGATCACACAACTTTACCATTTCGGAAGCCAACCCAAGTTTTCATTTTCTTCTCCTCCTAGGGTTAGGAGAGAGGCGGTAAAGAAAATTTAGGATTTCAACACAAAATATATCAATTAATTGTTTACTTCAATGAGCAGTAACTTCATTTTTCTCGAAATATCTTTGCTCCAAAATGAAAAATCTATAACCAAAAAATTAACAATCTTTAAAAGATCGCCACTACTAAAAACATTCTATATTTCCGACAAGTCTATGCAAATTAATTAAAGTGATTCTCAAATTCAATTTTTTCCCTCAGTAAAAGAAAACAGCTAAACTGAAATTGGAATCCGTAGAACTCCAATTTATATCCATGCAACAAATTCAAAGTTTAAAATCCTTAAAATTCAAAGCTCAACAAATCAATACTTAAACTGTATCAAACACAAAGCTAGATGTCTGAATATTCTCATCTGTACTCACCAAACCTAAAAATAATTAAACAAAAACCAAATTCAAATCTCAACAGTAACTGAAGGCAAATAAGAGCAAAAATTAAGATCTGAACAACATTTTACCTTTCAGAAAAATGATAAAATGAGTATATATTTGTGTATGTGTGTGCTGAGTTGAATACGCGAAAATTCGATGTGTTATTTTTAGAGGGAGATATATGAGGAGCTCCTCAGGATTGTGTATTCATTGAAACACTCTGCAATTGTTGTTATATATATATGATTACGAGGACCCCCTATGATTATTTCTCACAGTGTTTAAGGCCAAAGACTTATCGTTTGAAGGTTTATCAAATGTTAGCTCATAAGTGTAGAGAGTTCCAACCAACTCTTCAATACTAATTGAATCTAAGTCCTTGCTCTCCTCTATAGCCGTGACTTTAAGCCTAAACCTTTTAGGTAAGGATCTAAGAATTTTTCTTACAATTTTAGGCTCCGGGATTCTCTCACCTAGGTTAAAACTAGAATTCACTATGTCGTTTAAGTTTGCATAAAATTCATCAAAAGTTTCATTCTCTTTCATTCTAATCTCTTCAAACCTAACGGTCAATATTTGCAACTTAGAGTTTTTAACAGCCTAAGTTCCCTCATGTCAGGATTCGAATTTAGGCTCTGATACCAATTGAAATTACGTAGTTTACTAACTAAATTTGACCTTACGTGCGGAATTATACAATTAACAAGCATCAAGTCACCTTTAATTGTTTCTAGATGGTTAAACAAACAATCAAATTATCCTAAGTTGAATTGCCGCAATTTGTAATAAGAAAGTAATAAATAACACCAATATTGATGACGGAGAATCCCAACTTTGTAAAAACTTTCGAACCAATCGAGTTACCTCCACTATAGACAATATATAGTGAGTTACAGTAAGATGCTGCCTAGCCAACTCCATTAGACTTCCCGATCTATTTCCTGCTAACTCCAAGGTTTGCTCCAAGACCTGCTCCAAGATCTGCTTCAAGATCTTGTGCATTTGTCTCTTCCTAGTGGAATTCTAAGAACCTGCTCCAAGGTCTTGTGCTCTTCCTGCGCTTGTAGTCCAACCTCTCTCAACCTCCAGAAACTTTTGAAGTCCAATTGAGAAAGTAGCTTTGTAAGGGTATTTAGAAAGTAGGTGTTTTGGATTCTTCAATTTGATATTTTCCCAAAGTGTGGTTGAATGATCCCAAGAATAACAAGAATAAATCACAAAGGATGAATGTGTTATTGGATCTCTAAAGAATGATATGAGGCAAAAGAATAATAATCAACCACCTAGTAATTCGTGCATAGGCTTGAGTATTTATAAGAGATGGTAATTAGGTTGAATGGGCAGGAAAAAATACTTCAAAACTGTAATTAGGGTTTTTCGGATCGACTTGTCACTCGAGCGAGAAGCTGACGGCAAGAGAGCGACACACTGTCGCTTGAGCGAGAGCTCAGCGACAGGCGGGCTCAAGCGACATACATTCTATTTTTGTCGTTCGAGCAGTGTCCAGGCGATAAGTTAGCAAAAATGCGGCACCGTGTTTCTCCTTTTTTATGCTCAAACCCTACACCTCATAACCCAACTTGTACAAATTGCACCCTAGGTCCTTGACTTTTAAAACACATTACAAATTAGTCTTTTTGTCCACAGAATCGTCAACACTAAAAACCTAACAAGGAAGATGTATAGGAGGGAATTGTGGCTACGGCGGCTGCAAAAACCTAGATGCATTGAAGGGAAACTTTATCATAGTAAATATTAAAATGGGTCTATATGTTGCAAACATAAAAGGAGCCGCAGTGATCTATTGAAAATATGGGAAAAATATGATAACAGAGCCATGAACAAAGGTATAGGATACTTTGGCATTGGAGGATCTATTAATCATGAAAATAGAAATGGTAACTTCAAAGCTTTCCATGGAGAAATATTCCCTAAAGAAATTGTAAAGAAATATATCGGTCCCAAAAAAAATTTTTTGGTAGGAATTCTTGATGTGGAGACAATCCTTTCAGTGGTATGCAACAAAAATGATGCATCGATGATCAATGAAAATGACGAACAATGATCGAAATTGGTTGATTTCAATTGAATATCAAGATGAACACAAGAACGATCCTACAAACACATTGATTCACAAAGAGGATTTCAAAATATATGGATTGAGTAACGCACTGGTACATCTAAAACCATCAAATTTCATGGGTCCGTGTTCAGTTCAATACCAAATTCAAGAAATTCGGCACACGTTCATATTAACTATATAGACTTATCCACAATTTTAGAGAATAAAATTCAGCTGAAAATTGGTTTGTGAATCATGGTGAATGAGGGCAACCAACCCCTAGTAATGATTGAACCAAACCAAGTGCAAGGGATTCTAAGGGGTATTTTATGGCTTGATAAGCATAGGGTTCCAAATGAGAGACTTAAATAGCAGAAACAATGCTAATCCTATGTAAAGGAAGTAGTACTTCCATCTTTTATGACTTTAAACTTTCTCGTCTCTTGATGTATTACTTGAGGTAAGGTTTTTACATTCCCCTCCCCTGTGTAACAATGCTACCACTTGATGAATTAAGGTGCATCCCCCACTGGCCTAGGCGGAAACCTAAAAACAGATCCTCCTAGGCTCGTGTGGTGTTTCGCCTAAAAAATAAAAAAGGCAATTGAATCTAACTGAGTATTTAGTGAAGGCTAACTCATTTAATTGATTTGATAACAAATTAACTGACTATTGAGAAAAATGGGATCTTAAATGAAAAATAAATAAAATGGTGAAATGGTCATTTTTGCGTAGATCTAATTATTTGATGTTGAACGTGACATAAAGATGACAAGACAAGAGGATGTAATTGCTTTGGTGATTTATACGTTTTATAGTGAAGTTGTAGGGTCTTGGTTCAGCTTCACTATGGTTTAATTATTGGAGCTTGAATTATGTAGCTCTGATAAAGTCCATTAGGTAGCTACATAAAACGTCCTAGACTTGATAAGGTCATTTAGGTAGCTTCATAAAATGTCCTAGAATTAATCGCACTAATTATGAAAGGTCTAGGACTACATATGAAAAAAGCCCAAAATGGTTTTCTAGATAGAACAGGATATGGAGAACAAACACTAAGTCTATATGAGACCTAGCGGATGCAGACCACGGTATTTGAACATTCCTGGTCTACGCCTCTACAGTGGGAGATAAAAAAAATTGTTTTCTTGTTACTCATAGTAATTTCAATCGTTCTGGATTCTAGTTTTAGTTTCGTGGTGCCTGCACATTTGTGCAGTCACTACTTTCGAGAATACTAAAGAAGGCTTGTGGTTTAAGCAATAAGATTCAAGAACGTAGATTGAAAGCTGTAGTAGTTCAGTCTAAAATAAGATTTCAGACCAAGGAATTAATCATGGTTCGGCTTCACAAAAACCGTCCAGCATCTTAAAATTGGCATTTAACCAAAAAATATATGTATTATGAATTTTTACAATCATGATACAATAAAAACATTAGCAACCACTGAGTACTTGTAGCTCTTCAACGAAACAAAAAAGTACACACAACTGACAACAAGGACAAAGAGAGAATGTTTACGGCTAGTGCCGAGGCATCGAGTGCCACCTTTCAATCTTGTCATAGTGCAAAACAAAATCATCCTGCAGTAAAATGGAACGGGAGATCAGGATGACCCTTGCTCAAGCATGACATGTACAAATAGATATAATAATTAAAACAAATTAGAATATATACAGAAAACCATTTCAGTAACTTCCTCTATTTGTAATTGAAAAGATTGTGCAAAGTTCAATATTGAAACCTTGTTTCTCAACATCCAGGTGTCGGAATTGAAAAAGAAATATGAACCTCTCTCATAAGTGCTTGTCTTCAAAAGAGGTTCCATATCTGCCACTCGAGTGAACCATAACAGGAGCTCTTTATGGTAGAACCATCCTCTAGTATACCTGCAACAAAACAAGATTTTCACTTAGTACTTAATGGGGTTGATACACTGTGTTATGTAGAGAAAAATATATACCAGAAGACCTCGGCCAAGAAGACTAAAGCTAAATCACAAAGAAAGCGAAACAAACTTACAGTTCATTTGCTGCAAAGAGTTGTGCCTCGTCTTTTGGCATGCTGCGAGAGCAGAAATAAGAATGAAAAACAATAAACTCCACTAAATCAAGAATTGTAATGTGAGAGAGTACTAGCAGAAGATTACCTGTAAAAAATATATAACAAGGTGTCTGGCTGGAAATTTTTAAAGTCACTTTGCTGCATTATCAAATGATTGATTTATTAAATAATTGTGGTATAAACAATTTCTGAGAATCATGAAACCATAAAAAATTATCACCTTTAGAGGAGGTGGATGTCTGACATTGTAACACATGGGAATATCGTTCTCAGGCTCTACTTTGAAAGGTTCACTTACCCAGGGAGAGGCAAATGTCTTGTGAAGAGGCTCACTTGACATCAAATTTAGACCGAGCGTTGTCAAATCTGTTCCCACAGCAAGTGAGGTCATACCTGGATTTTCCTTTATCCGTTTTAACATCCCATGCATCCCAAAGTGATTAGGAACACTTGGCAATTCCATCGGATTGTCCATGAACTGGTTGGCAAAGTAAGAGATGGATGGCTGGTATTGTTGATTATGTTGCATGAAACGAAGTGTGTTCAACAATGTCATTTAAAAGCTTAAGCTATTAAGAAGGATATATTGATTTTTGTAAATTTAGTCGCGCCCCCTTAAATAAAGGGCCAAAAGGCAATTCATTTTTTATTTTGAACACACGCAAAATTTTCTTAAAAAGGGTAGCGTAAGTCTAGATCACAAGTCTTATGCATGCTACTACGTTGAAATATCTCATTCAAAATTATAAGATTTTAGAGAGACGCATATATTTTATTTTATTTCAATCCTACCTTCAATAAAGTAAATGACCTTAACAAGGTTGGGAATTCTCAACCTTCATAATAACTAGAACTCAAAATCCATGATGTAAAAATTCTAAAATGAAAATGCTCATATGAAGTATACATCACCATAAAGATAATAGTACCAATTGAACTATAGAGAACATATAGTTTAAGCAGGTGACAATACCTCAATGCCATGAAAATGTGGATCACGATTGCTTGAAACCCTACTTGATGACACACGGTGTTGTTGCTAGGATGATGAGTTGGATATGCAAAAATAATATAAGTATTAATTAATAATTCGTGGTGTTCCTAAAAACTGCATCTTCTACTGCTATAACTTACAGCCATTTGCTGATACTGCATTAAATATGCCATATTGTCATGCATCTGTTCTTTTTGGTGTGTATTGGTGGGCAACTGAGACAAACCCAGGTCACTGAGACCATCTGTCATATTTCAAAGGCAAGGCAGATAAGGAGTTAGAACATTATAGGGTGTTCTCATAATTGATTCATACCTTCAGAAAACCAGCAAACATAATGATTCAAACCAAATGTATTCTACACTAGATGATTCATATAAATATATATTCACTGCATATATAATACTTCATTTGTTAATACATATGAAATAGGAGTATGTCAAATAAAATTTACAAAAACGTGGCATGTAATTGCACACTATATGAAGGGTATGTTCTCTAAATTGTCATATGTTTTCAACCAAGACGTAATAGAATATGTTATTTGTAAAAGCTTATGAGACAGCAATACGAAAACAAACATCAATTACCACAAACACGGTATACAAAGCATAATTACACCAGATATGCTATATACGAGGTATGTTTTATAAGTTTCCTCCAAAATATACACGCATAACAAACATCTCATTAGGTGTGGCACAATTATTTGCGTGAGTTAAAAATGTGAAGACGTGAAATTTCCTAAAATGTGTAAGAAATATCGAACCATATGAATAAATTCGAAGTGTAGAAGGGACACAGAAGAAAATCTTACAAAAAAGTAACCAAATATGAGTGTGGTATGAGTGTTTTAGGAAAGTGGACAGTAATTTTCAACATCACAAAAGGAAATTGTAGTCATTCGGTTTGGGATGGAGGACTACTACATAAGATCTCTTAAACCACCCATTCCCCCCAAGAAGAACATACATGGAAAGAAAGATGAGAAATGTGGATCATTTAATACATTAAATCATTAGCTTAAAAAATCAAGTGCCATAAGATTTCAATGAAAAATCACCACAAGAAAATAATAAAAGACCTTTTAGGACTGCAATGGAAACTTATGTTAATAGTGTCACAGCAATGTGTGGAAAATTATAGGCAGCAGAATAACTCAGTCCATTGTACAAACAGCTTTTCCATTTATCATTCCTTTAAAAACAAATGAATACAGAATTATGGACATATATTTCAGTCATCAAAACCATTATAGCAATATACAGTAACAGCAATTATGATTCGACTAGACAACATAAGAGTACCTCGATATCCTGGTAAAGAAGGAAATTCCTGATTCTGATTGTTCAATTCTGGTTTTTGTTGGGAATACCCAGTGTGCATCAAGCCTACATAATAAGTAAAAAAATCGTAGTTTTAGAGAAGAACTGCACATAAAAGCAATAAGGACAATAATTACCATGTTGTCATTGAGGAGCGCCAGAAAAGGACTGATACCCAGATAGCTGGTAGTCATTGATATTGAAAGTAGAATATTTAGAAGCACTTGCATCATTTAGCAATGAAGTATAATTGTGTTAATAACGTGGGGAGAGTGGTACACCCTGAGCATAATAAGAGCTCTCTTGCATATTTACCATTTGTGAAGCTGAAAGTTAAGTCTCACTTAAATAACTCCTAGGTCTATATAACTATTAGATGCAGTCATGCTTTGAAATTTTTTGAAGTTCGGTTATGCAATAAAATGTTGATAAATGTGTAGGTTTCACTTTCACGAAGAAAATACATCTTAATATTTATCAAATATTATCAGTAGGAAATCATTGGTTATAATTTCATCATAAAGCATGTTTCCACAAACTGTGTTGCTCCAATAAATGAAATCCATTACAAGTTAAGTTTGCACGAGAAGAAGGTCCAGCTTGGTTAGCGACTCCTGCAGAGCCTAAACACACGCCTACTAGATTACCCACAGAATTAGCAATGCTCGTGGAATATCCCACATTTGGCAACACAAATTGTCCTGAAATAAGGTCTTTGAAAAGCAAAGAGACCAGTAAATCCCTGACGAACACTGCAATATGCAAATTAAAAGTACACAATTGCAACTACCATAACGCCCAACATTAGTTTCACCTGAATGTACACTGAACTACATAGGATTCGACAATATTGTAAATAAGATTTCTCTCTTATTTTTTCAGTTGTCCAAATAGAAATGTTCATAACCAAATATGTGGATAGTATTTACCTCCTGATTGATTCAAAACACCACTGGAGGAACCAAACTGAGGATAAAAGGGTGTGCTTGAATTCGATCCATCTGTTGCTGGCTGCATCCACGTTATCAACATAAAGGAAAATTCAAAAACAAAGGGCATGAAAGCTTTACAATTATAATTAACTCTTTCGGTCTGATTAAGATTGAATTATATAAAATTTGACATAATAATTATGAAAACCAGGGTAAAGAAAAAATTAATCTTTATTTTTAAAACAAGTATCATGGCATAAGCGTGCTTTAGGAAAAGTAGTGATTTTTCACGGTAGAGAAATAATAGACGAAATACATGATGCACAAAGAAAATGATCTTACATTGAATGTGCATGACATTTTGTAGAATTTATCACAACAAAAAAGCAAAAGGTCGCTTATCTGAGAAGAGCCTTTGTTGATCTTATGTGCAACTCAGGGCTCTCCCTGATAAAAAATAAATAAAAATAAAAATAAATAAATAAGAGAGAGAGAGAGAGAGAGAATAAAAGCTTGAAGACAGTTAAATAAGATTCAACCACTTGAATATCCAACTGTTTCAGTTTTAGGAAGGAACAAAGATTCTATTCATAACAATAAAGCAGGGAAATACTAAAACTAGCCACATTTAAACATCAAAGTAGAAAATCATCCATTACAGCCATCAAGCAACCTCCTTGTGTCTGCATAGATGTTAGTACAACTCAATTAAAGTGAGAGCTTAATCAATTTACATAAAGTAAACAAACTTGGAACAAGCAAGATATTATGCATTATTGATTCATGTCAGTACTTATTTCCCAATAATAAGGTGCAATTTGGCTTTTTCAGCTCGTTCAGTTCAGGAGCCAATAATAATGTATGACTAGGCCTTCGAACATAATCATCCCCTTCCCCTCCCTGCATGCTTAAATTTTTGTGCCACGTGCAATTCTATCAATGTCACAAGTACGTTTTCATGCCTACTGTTTCCTCCTACTATGTGTACGGCAATGATTTTGAGACTATACATCTTATTAAAAAAATACTAACTTGTTTGAGACCCATTTTGGGGAAAATGTATTTTGAAATAATGATTTTTTGGACAATGTGTGATTAAGAAATAAAAAAAAAATGTTGATTTACGTATAAAATTATTTTATTTGAGAATGTATGGTTGAAAATAAGTTTTGAAAGAAGGGCTAAAGCAGGAAATGAAACGAATGTTACAAAGTCAGATTACTAAACTTGCAGTAATTTAAAACAAAAAAATAATTTGTCTTACCCAATGCTTCTGGATTTTCACAAAATAAAAAATTTCTATCATCATTTGTAATAATAAACTATTGGATCATGATATGTTTGCCTATTTTAGTTAACTTACTTTAGGATGTATATATTCTGTGATTTGCATTATATTCAGAATTATTGTTGTACTATAATTAGTGTAGCCTGTTATAGTATCATTAGTATTTTACTATCATTAGAAAACCTTAAACTAGGGTTTGCCGTGCATATCTGTATGTATATATCAGCACTCTTCTTCTTCATTAATGATATGAAAAATTCAGCCAACTAGTCTTGAGTTTCTATATAAACTCGAGCTAATGTGCAATGACACTAGTGATGCAAACTCAGTCATTAAACTTTCTACACTTGGACACGGTCTCTCATACCCCCAAGCAATCTCCCACATCATAAACACAGAAGCATGTATATCTTGGAGTTAGGATTCATGATGGACCTTGATAAGAGGAAATAAATTAAAACAAAACACAAAAAAGGATCTTGATCAGGAATCGTGCTTCAAGTAACTAAACTAGCTTTTTCCAGAACCTAAACAAACTAAACTAGCTTTTCCCAGAACCCCATTTTTTTTTTTTCCCCTTAAGAAAAGAGAGCACACTACTATAATATTTTGGAAGCAAATATATCATTTAATTCCCAACCCAACCCCCAAGTTAGGAGAAAGTGTGTGTCAAGAAAGTTATATGACTTTTTTACTTCAACCTTCAACGTTTGAATATCCTAAGCATGTAGATCATCACCGTCAACATCAATCTGTCTCCATAGCATAAACACAGAACCATATATATTATAGAGTTAAGGTGCACAATAGTCCTTGAAGAGGGAAATAAAAACAAATAGATGTAGTTTGATAAGGGAAATATATATTAAATAAAATGGAACTCTTTTACTTATAATAAATAAAATAATTAGATCTTGATAAGGGACCTAAAACAAACCTTGACAAGAGAAAATAATCGAAAGATAAAATAAATGGACCTCGACGACGGATCATGTTATATATAAGCAAAGCATACAGAATTGCATAACTTTACCATTTTGGAAGCAAACTTATCTTTTCATTCTTTTCCCTCCTCTCCTAGGGTTAGGAGACAAGTTGTAGATAAATATTTAGGATTTCAACCCAAAATATATTTAATACTTTTATACTTCAAGGAGCACCAAATTTTCATTTTTCTTGAAAAAACTTTGCTTAAAAAATAAATAAATTAAATTAACACATTTTAAAAGATCAGCATTCAGAATTCATTCTTTATGTCTAGCAGATCTATGCAAATTGATTTAAGTGAAACTCAAAGCCAGTTTTGCCTCAATTTTATTTAAAAAACAGCTAAAGCAAAATTTCTGTGGGTAAAACTTCAATTCATATCCATGCAACAAATTAAAAGTCTAAAACCCATAAGATTAAAAGCTCATAAAATGACACTTAAACTCAATCAAACAAAACCCTGGATTCCTGCATGTTCTAATCTACAAAACCCTAAACTAAAAAATTGTTAAACAAAAAACAAACTCAAATATCAATCAAACAGTACCTGAAGGCAAAGAGAGAGCAAAAACTAATGTCCTAACAGCATTTTACCTTTTAGCAAACGGATAAAAGGAGTATATATATTTGTGCTAAGTTGAAGAGAAAAGAATGGATTGTGATTTTAGAGAGAGAGAGAGAGAGATGAGGCGCATAAGTAGAGTGTTCATTGGTACAATTCTTACAATTCTTCTTACTATTGCTCTGTGTTTTTTGGATGCACATAATCTTGAACTAATTAATGTAATTAGGTGGGTTTGGTACTTTTATAAAAATAATAAATAAGTAAATTAGGAATTTGCTATATTAATTTTATTTTTTTTTTTAATTTTGGATTAAGAAATAAGATGAGGAATATGTTTGCCTAAACTTAAAAGTAAGCAATTTTTTTGTGTCTAAACATAGTTGGATGAGTTACATTTTATCTTGATCTAAGGAAAAAAAATTATTTTTATTAGTGTAAATAACTCAATTATTTCTAGTTTTGATCATTAAAAAAATTCTAAAAATAACTTCTAAGTTACGCTTTTAAGCTTATGATCAAATGTCAAGAAAAATATATAATTGCCTATTTGTTTGGATGCCTCATGACATGCAAGGACGAGATAAAAATGTTCAAGAGATTAAATGTCGAATCCAAGAATTAGAATAAAAATGTGTAACATCTTAAATACCACTTATCTTCACAAACGCAAAATATAGCATGTATGTGTAATGACTTTATATTTATGCGTTTTTAATGGGAAAAAGAAAAAAAGAAAAAGAAAAAACATGTTATGGCTAATCATATGGGCCATCAATTGTACACTTACGACGTCTAAAGTGTCGAGTTCAATTTATTGACATTATTTTCCATGTGTTGTGCATATGTTATAAATCAAGACTAGTCACTAAATTTTCATTTTGTTAGTATTATGTCCATCAATGACGAATGAATTTCTAAAAGAGACTCAATAAACAAACACAACAACATGACTTTTACACCCATGTTAAAAAATGAATACAGGTAAACATTTTCATCTCTGGTAGATGCTAGTTTTAATATGTTGTCTAACTTTAATATTTCAAGAATAAAGAAAATGAAAATGGGGAGTTCCTCTCACTCCTCTCTCTAATCTTTCTTGACTTGGATATAGATGTAATCAGAGAGTTAACTAGACAAGGAATTAGAAATTGAGGTACAAGGTAATGACGATTTAAATGAAGATAGTCAAAGAAATCTAATCGATAAATTTAAATATTAATCAGATTAAAATTGAGGTATAAGGTAATGACGATTTAAATGAAGGTAGAACCATTTCATTCATGTTGGGAAACGGAATGGGTGATTGATTAATCAGTCTTCCTGAACAGGATGTAAAATGAAATGCGGTATTTGCGTGTGAAAATGTTATTCCTCCGGAATTATATCTCGTGCCCCATCTGCATCATCACAATTGGAAACATTTCATATTAAAAACAGAAATTAAATAAAATAAAATAACACCATAAAATAACGTAAAACAAGTTAATTATTATCAACAAAAATTGAAATGAAATTCAGAGTATCTTATGTTTCACAAGACAATTTAGGGGTTTGTTTGAGCCCCCATTTGTCTCAAAAAAAATGCATTTTGTAACAGTGTTACGATAGAGAATGTATAATTAAAGAATAAGAAAAAAGATTTGGATTTACGTATAATATTATTTTATTGAAGAATGTGTGACTGAAATATAATCAAATAACTGTTCAAGAATACATTTTGATGAAAAAAATGGTGCTCAAACAATGGCTAAATGTGTTTTTCGACATTTGATACATTTTTCTCGACATTACCGAAAAAACTATGGAGAATAACAGGTACTAACTGCCAGGGGCTGACAGTTGGATTGTCAAGGCATACAGTCATCCATCGAGGCATACAAATGAGCTACCGATCCCAATCCAACACACCAAACCTTTCACGACCTTGATTCGAAAAATCCAGAAATAATTTAAACTTTACCAAGTTCACCAAAGTCAAACATCAATCTATTATTTCATATATGCACAAAAAAGGAAATCCAATCACCCAAAAATCCATAAATCTTCAAAACCAAAATAGAGAAAATACCTTACGACGTTTGGATGTGGGACTCTATGCGGAGAAAATTATTACCCCGTTTCCGTTGATGTTTAGAGAAAAAAACATAGGTATATTTTAATTTTAATGAAAAATCATAAGAATTGAGAGGAGAGAAAAAATTCATTTCCATAATATTGACATTATTTTGAGGAGTGGGAGTTGGAAAAATAGAATTATTTTGTATGTAAGGTGTATGTTTAGATAAAA